TCAACATTCTATACATTATATGAATTGCCCATTTCTTGCATTTCCACCAAGGTAAATTAATTCTAAACTCTTCTTCTACTTGATTCGTCTGTTCTGGTACAGGTCTATCAACTACTTCTCTACAAATTTCCATCCACTGTGAAAATACATCTTTAGTAATTAAGTCCAATGGCAATGTGTACTGAGTTAAAGCAAAAAATGTTTTTAATATTTGCTTTTGTAAAAGAACTGATTGCTCTGAATGATCTGGTAAAAGTTGTACACACAATTGGTACATCATAGGAAATAAAAGATTCATTGCTTCATTTAAAGGAACTCTATCATCAGCTTTTTTATATCTAGAAAAAAAAAAAAAAAAAAAAAAAATGAATGTACAAAAATTTTTTTTTTTAAAAAACTCTACTCTCTACTTGTTTAGGCAATATTTTATGTGTGATAAATTATTCACTTACTCAAAATTCTTAACAAGTTGATACAAGCACAATAATGCACCAAACCACCCTGATGCATTTGGATTTTGTAAATAAATGCTAATTTTATCAACTATTAACGTCCACTTAGCTGGAAAATCATATTTAATTATGGTACTAAGACATTGTGTTAATTGAACTCTAACTAAATCTGGAGCACAAACTATAGCATCAACAATTGCATCTCTAATCATGGCTCTATCTTGTTCGTGAATTGTATAAGGTATCGGTTGTCCAGGTTCTACTTCTTTTCCTCCCCAATGAGATTCAATTTCTCTTTTTAAATAAATGGCAGCTGCTTGCCTGACTGGCATATCCACATCATTTATCATAACTACTTGAAGAAGTGATGGTGTGAAACTTATAATCTTGTGAATCTGAGAAAGTAAATTATTTACAGGAGAATGAAAATTTACAAATAATTCATTTTACGTTCGCCTATTTTTATGCTTTAAATAATTAGAAAAACAAGCCCCAAAAATAACACAAATTTAATGCCGAAAAAGTGAACTTTTACAATTTCATTTTTAACCCTGAGAAAATAAATTTAAGTAAATTTAAAAATAAAAACACATGACAATAAAAACAATAATAAAAGGAGGCATGAACGGTATCAACAAATTTATCCTGTAATTAATTTGCATTAAAAGCTGGATTCTGCAAAAAAAAACACTAGCATCCATTCTCTGTGAAAACTTAAGTTCTTGCCACATGTTCGGGCGTTATAGCTTACTTGGGTTAATTGTTCTTCCGCTTCATTTTTTTGATTAATATCGAGTGACATGCGAAAAAGGAATATTAACTTTCCTGTATCCATTTTAGTCTAATACCCGACTTTAAAGCTACACTACAGAAACCGAATTAAAATTACTCCAAAATTTTAACCCGCTACAAAGACTGATGCTGGTTGTTTTCTCTATGTCCCATTAAATGGCGGATCACCGCCTACTAAACAAAATTTTGATTTTCATTTATTTATATTCTTTGTTGATTTGAAAATCTTGAACTTTAAAAAAAGAGTAGAAAGTGGAATAAAACTTTGATATTACTTTATATTAAATAAAAAATTAATTAAAAAAAAATTTTTTTATTCGAGTTATGAAAAATTGTTTAAATCTCATTTATAAATTTAATAAATTAAATCAAATTTTTAATTTAGTTAAAAAAGATAGATATGTGTCTACCGTTAATAATAATAGGTTATTTTTATTTATACTTATTTCATAACAATGTATTTTTTTTTTTTTTTTTCTCAAAAAGACTTTAAATATTTTTTTTATTTTTAAATTCAGTTTAAATAACTTTAAAAAAATTTTGCTTTATATTTAATTGCTGCTATTTTTAAATTTTTATATTATGAACTTAGAAACAATTGGTCAGCTGCCATTGGATTAGAAATTCATGCTCAATTAACAACTAAAACAAAGTTATTCTCATCTGCTCCACAGCAATATGGTGCCCCTGTAAACAGCACTGTAACTTTATTCGATGCTGCCATTCCAGGAACTTTGCCTGTCCTTAATAAAAAAGCTGTGGAATTGGCTGTGATTTCAGCACTAGCATTGAATTGCAAAGTTAACCCCATTTCTTCTTTCGATAGAAAACATTATTTTTATTCTGATTTACCTGTAAGTTGGGAATTAAAAACAACACCTACAAAATATACTCTTAATTTTAATAATGTTTAACCATGTTTATTTATTATTTTTTTTGGTATTATAATATATATATTAATTATGTTTTTGAGAAAAAAAATGTATACTAAAAACTCTACTGAGGCAGTATTAGTTTAATTTAATGCAAAATATTTAGCGAGATTAAAATTTTTAATAGGAATCTTGTAGGTTTTCAAATGAAACCTGTTATTTTTAGGCAGGTTACCAAATCACACAGCAAAGGCAACCACTAGCAGAGAATGGGGAAGTAAAATTTGCAGTGTATCAACCTGGTGTTCACAGCAAGCCTTACTACAAAAGTTCGAAAATTAAACAAATTCAATTAGAGCAAGATAGTGGAAAATCTTTACACAATACAAAATTAAATCAAAAATATATTGATTTAAATCGAGCTGGAACTGCCCTAATTGAAATTGTATTTCAGCCTGATTTAGAAAATGAACAAGAAGCATGTGCTTTAATTAAAGAAGTATTAACAATTTTAAAAAGAGCTCAAACATGTTCTGGTAAATTAGAAGGTGAATAAAATTTTATTTAAATCTTATTGTTAATTTTTTTTTTATGAAGAAGAAAAGAAGATACAAATTTTTTAATTTATGATTTCAGAGGGTAATTTGAGAATTGATGTTAATATTTCCATTAGAGATGAAAATAATAATTTAGGTCCTAGAACTGAAATTAAAAATGTCGGTTCGATTCACGGTGTCGTACATGCAATAGTACAAGAAAAAAAAAGGCAAATAAATATTATAGAAGGCGGTGGAATTGTACAAAATGAAACATTTGCTTGGGACGTAGTTAAAAATAGTTTAACTTTAATGAGAGACAAAGAAGAAGCTAATGATTATCGTTTTGTACCAGAACCAAACCTTCCTCCTTTAAGGTTAATTATTAACAATAGTACAAAAGAGTTTCACAAAGATATTCGAAATAAAGAAAACATTCTCGATTTGAAACATGTACCATCTAAAGTACCTGAAACTCCGCAGAATGATAGATTGTATTTGATTGAAAAATATGGTTTAAGCGATGTTTATGCTTACAACTTGGTGGTGAGTTTAATAAACACTTTTGTTTTTAAGGTATATGTCAGGTTTAAAATCATTTTGCCTTTTTTTATATCATACCATCAACATTCAGGTACAGTTTTTCGAATGTTTAACATGCAAATTATTTTCGGTGAAATTTTAAAGAATAATTTTTTTCAGGCACAAGAAAAACTTTTGGACTTTTTCAAAAAACTATTATCGGAAGATTCTTCTAGAGATCCCAAAATCACATATTTATTATTAATGTATAAACTTTTGAATGCGTTGAAAGTAAAATCTATGGATTTGGAAAATTGGTAAGGATATCTATCGCCTTTAAACTCGTGAGGTTTCGAAATACAAATTCTCTAATTTTTCTTTCTTTTTTTTTTTTTTGTTTTCTCTCTCTCTCAGTTATGTTTCGATTGATTACTTGGGACAAATCATTGACATGTTACAAAAAAAGGTAATAAGTAAAATGACGGGTGATTATTTAATACAAGAGATTTTAAATGTTGATAATAGTGTTAGCCCGAGCGAATTAGTAGAAAGGGAAAATTTAAAAATCATATCGAATCCGAAAGAATTAAAAAAATGTTGTTTGAAAGTTATGGAAAGGGAAAAACCGTTGGTAGCCACTTACAAGAAAAAAAATAAAATCGTGTACAACGAATTATTGAGAAAAGTAATTGAATATACGAATAATCGTGCTGACACAAACGTGTTGCCCCAAGTCTTGACAGAAGTTTTAAACGATCATTTAAACAACAGGTTATAAAATAATAATAATAATAATAATAATAGATTCCGACCTTTTACAAACGCGAATTAATAAAAGAAAAATTTGTAGGTAGAAAATCGTTAAATTAATAATTATTATTATTATTATACGAGTTAAATTAAATCATAAATTATTATTATTATTATTATTATTATTTCTGATTTAAAAAAAAAAAAAAAAGAGAAAAAGTTTCGAATCATCAAAATAAAGTTTTTTTTTTTTTATTATTTTTGTTTCAAAACAAAAATGTTTTGCACATTTCGCGCTTTTTTTCGTCTCTATGATAAAATTGTGAGGGGAAAAAACCGTTTATCGTTTAAAGATGGGCGTATCCGTAGGTTAAATATGGGCGGAACTCGTTTATTTATCGGTGCTTGGGTATTCCACGTAAGAAATACATAAAAAAAAAAAAAAAAACACAATACCCGAGTGACGTAGAAAGGATTTTGAGATTAGTCACGTGAGATTTATATGCGCGTGAAGTATAGTATTTTTACATTTGTAATTAAAATAAAAATTTTATGATATATTTTTTTTTTCTTTCTTTAAGTTAAAAAAGAATATTTTAAAAACACGAAACAATTATTATTATTATTATTATTATTATTATTATTTTAAAAATTTAAATTTTTTCCGATATTTCCGATATATTTTAAATGAAAAATAATAATAATAAAATAAATAAACAAGGGTGATGGATTTACCGCGATTAATGTGATGAAAATTATTAGTTTTAACAGGTTCGGATAACAAAAGCGATAATTTTTTTTTTTTTTTTTTTTTTTTGTTTACTAAACAAAAAAAAAAAATAAAATTCCTTTTGTAAATTGATATATAAATTTATATCAATTTTATCTAAAAATAAAATTAAAAATTTTCATTTAATAACCCTGCCGAATTTTTTTTTTTTTTAATTAAATATATTTTTAAACAAACGAAAACGTTCAATTGACTCGTTATAAAAAAGGGGTCACGATATTTTATAGAAAATAATTATGGATTCAGGTTGTTTGTTTTTGGTTTTGTTATTATATCAAATTTTTTTTTAGTTTGTTTGTTAAATATTAACCTTAATTAAAAAAAAGAAAAAAAACTACAAAGGGTTAACCTTAATAATGTTTATTTTAATTTATTTAAAATGTTCAGGCACGTAAAATATGAGGTTATGAAAAATTAATTTAAAAATGTTAATTTAATTTTTGGTAATTAATGCGCGAAGGATTTTTTTTTTTAACGAAAAAAAGACATTCGAGACATTGTTTTAAAACGAAAAACATATCAGAGATTGTTTGTGATAATAATAATAATAATTTATAAGACATGGACAGTAATTTATAAATTTCGGTCGCGTTGGTGTTGTTTATTTCGTTTGAAAAAGTCGGAATTAAATAAATAAATAATTTAAAATGAAATTTGCTGAACACTTAACTGCTCATATAACTCCGGAATGGAGAAAACAATATATAAATTATGAAGAAATGAAATCAATGCTTTATAATGCAATAGAAGAAGCTCCATCACCGGAATCAACGGATCCAAATTCTGTCGCAAGATATTTTACGTCGTTCGACGAACAATTTTTTAGTTTTTGCGACAGAGAATTGAAAAAAATTAATACGTTTTATTCCGGTGAGTTTTTGTTTTTAAAATATTTATATATTTATAGTTGTACTTACCGGTTTTTTTTTTTTTCTGGTAGAGTTTCTTATCGTTTTTTCTTTTCTTTTCTTTTGAAAATAGAAAAACTTGCTGAAGCTACTAGAAAATATGCGACACTCGTTGCGGAAACAAGTTCGGCTGTAAATAGTCAACAAAATGCAAAAGTTAAAAAAAAATTATCATCGAGAAAATTACAAGAATTAAAACTTGCTTTTAGTGAATTTTATTTAAGTCTTATTTTACTTCAAAATTATCAAAATTTAAATTTTACCGGATTTAGAAAAATATTAAAAAAACACGATAAGGTAACAAAATAATCATCACATGACGTTTTGTTTTGTTTTGTTTTGTTTTTTTGGCGCCAAAATTATTACTTACCGTTACGATTAGTTTGAAGTTTCTACAGTTGTCGACATTGCTTTTTACTTTTGTTTAAACAGCTTTTGACCGTTAGCTCGGGAGCAAAATGGCGAGAAGAAAATGTAGATACATCTCATTTTCATACGAATCAAGATATTCACAAATTAATATCGGAAACGGAAGCAACTGTTACGATGGAATTAGAAGGAGGAGATCGTCAAAAAGCAATGAAAAAACTCAGAGTTCCACCGTTGGGAGAACAAAAAAGTCCTTGGATAACATTTAAAGTCGGATTATTTTCCGGATCGTTTATTGTATTGTTTATTGCTGTGATATTATCAGGTACGAGTCGAGTTGAGGTTTTTGAGGTTTTTACCAACAAAAAAGTCGCCAAAAACAAAATGGGGTTTTTTTTGAAAATTGTAAATTTTTTTTAGCCATTTTTCAAGAGGATCAAAGAAATTTAATCGTTGCTTTTCGCCTTTATCGAGGTCCCATGCTCATAATAGAATTTATTTTTTTAATGGGTGTCAACGTTTACGGTTGGAGATCCTCCGGAGTTAATCACGTACTTATTTTCGAACTCGATCCTAGAAATCATTTATCCGAACAAGATTTGATGGAAGTAGCTGCCATATTGGGCGTTGCTTGGACTTTGAGGTATCAGCAGCAACAAACAAAAGTATTACCTGTAAAAAAAAAAAAAAAAAAAAACATGTTAAATATCTTTCTTTTAATTAATAATTATGATGTTTTATTTCAGCACGCATACGTACGATTAAAGTCACAATTTTCCAAACGTACCTAATTCATGCGATACCCGAACCGAACCTTTCCTTTTATTCAGAAAAAATAAGAGTTTCAATTGTAAATTTTACAGACGTGAAATATAAAACTATTATTATTATTATTATTATTACTTGTTGCGTGGGCGGAGCGTTAAAGGTTTAAAAAATGTTTGTTTTTTTTTTAATTTCAGTTTGTTGAGTTTTCTATTTAGTTCTTCACTTAGTATTCCGCCATATGTAAATCCATTGGCTTTAGTTATCATAATGGTATTTTTTTTAATCAATCCCCTGAAGATTTTCAGGCACGAAGCTAGGTTTTGGCTATTGAGAGTATTGGTGAGTCTTTACAATCCTTCATCGTATTTATTTTAATTGTTAGAAAAGTCACAAATTTTTTTTTTATTTAATTTTACAGGGTAGAATATTTGCGGCACCTTTTTTCCACGTGGGATTTGCTGATTTTTGGCTTGCCGATCAATTGAATAGTTTAACGGCTGCTTTTTTAGATTTTCATTTTGTTTTTTGTTTTTATTTAACAAATGAAGACTGGGTCGTTCCTCAGGGTGCGTTTTTGCGTTGCGTGCGTGTGAAAAAGTTAAAAAAAATATTTCTCACCTTCGTTTTTTACACACACAGATGTATCTCACTGCGTTAGCTATGCTTATTTTCTACGTCCCGTCGTTCATTGTTTACCTGCCTGGTTTCGATTCGCACAATGTTTGAGACGTTATTACGATTCGAGAGAAGGTTTTCCACATTTGGTCAACGCACTCAAATATTCGACGACATTTTTCGTTGTTTTATTTACATTTCTTCGTGCAAAATACAAGGGTAATTAATAATCATCTGAAAAAGAGCTTTTTTTTTCGTGTAAATCATTATGTAAAGTATGTTTGTTACCTACCTTACAGGAGAGACTGAAAATAACACGTTGGTTTATTTATGGATCGCTGCATCTTTTATAAGTTCTTGTTACACGTATACCTGGGATGTTAAAATGGATTGGGGTTTATTCGATTCGAAATCCGGAGAACATAAATTTCTAAGAGAAGAAACCGTTTACAATACGATCGTGAGTTTTCTTTCTACTTTTACAGGTACTCATCGTACCTTTTTCGATGATCGATATTCACACATTCAGTTGAATTTATTTCAGGGATTTTATTATTTCGCAATGATCGAAGATTTTTTAATAAGATTTTCCTGGATTTTATCATTTGCTCTTCAAGAATTGGGTTACGTATCGGGAGATATAATGACGTCGATACTTTCCCCTTTGGAAGTTTTCAGGTTATAAGCTAGAAAAAAAAAAAAAAAAAAAAAAAAAAGAAATTAATTATTTAATTTAACGAAATTATATTATTATTATTATTATTATTATTATTATTGTAGGAGATTCGTTTGGAATTTCTTCAGGTTGGAAAACGAACATTTAAATAATTGCGGTAAATTTAGAGCGGTTCGTGATATATCGGTGGCTCCGATCGATACGACAGACGATATTGAAGTACTCAGAATGATGGATAACGATGATTGGGTGACAAATAGAAAAAAGAAAAAAACTGAAAATAAAAAACAAAAAGAAGGAGAAATCCCTCTATTATTTAACAATTATAACGTATTGGTGTCTTAGCGCATAAACAAAAATTATATTTATAAAAAATCGTAATTAATATAAATAAATAAATAAATAAATGAAATTTAATTATTATTATTATTATTATTATTATTAACTTAATTTAATCAAATTTCAAAAAAAATTTCTTTCGAACACGATAATTTTCATATAAATTTTATATTTATTTAATTTAAAACTCGTAAAAAATTAGTAAAAAATTTAAAAATATAAAAACAAACGAACAAACAAACAAACAAACAACGATTAATCAAATTTTTTAGTTAATTATATTTATTAATTTTTTTTTTTCCTATTAAATTAACATTTAAATCATTATTATCATTATTATTGTATATCTTTTTTTTTTTTTTTTTTTTAGTTATTTAAAATAAAATATATGTTAATTTTATAATAATATATTTATTCGTTACGGAAAAAGGCAA